ATAATATTTCCTATTAAAAATATTCCTCATACTTAATAAAATTAATTTAAATTTTCTAGGCACTCTCACACATCCTATATGATTAATTCTATGCTAAAAAAAAATTCCTCATTCACTTAAGGTGCCTAAGTAAATTCTTTACTTTTAAAAATACTATTCCAACACATAAAAATTCAAATAAAATATTTATAGCACATAAAAAAATTCACACAAGCACATAAAATAATTCAAAACCCCTCTAACAATTATTCTAAGCGCACAAACTATTTTTTATTCATCAACAACATGCTTTAATTAATTATTCATGCAAAAATTACTATTTATACATCGTAAAATCAATAAAAATATCTCTTAGGCATAGAAAAACTATTTTAACTATTATATATATATTCGGTGATGTTCCTAAGGATTGTTTCACATCCTTAAAATATGTTTCCCTTGCGTTTAATAGTAACTTTTTTATTTAATTTCGGTTTCAGCGGATACGGTTATTACAACCAAGCACATCTCCTACTAGCAGGCGTGCCTTAGCCCCCACACACCGAGTAGCACTCCCATCGGGGCACGCCCCACCGCCGGTAGCCTTCGGCGCACCTCACCCCACAACTCGGCTTGCCGCAACTTCACCTTCCAACCGCCCCACACGCAACAACAAGAACCCTCGCCCCGGCCGGCGGCCTCGCACCGCGCGAAGACACTGCGCGCGTAGCGAGCTTCTCCTCGCGGGCGCCCGCCACCACCTCGGCCTTGTGCGAGCCTATTAGCACCGGTGCCGCGCGCCAATGCCGATGCCAAGAGCCGGCGCTCAACACCGAGCACCTCCCAACGAGCGCCCATCGTCGGCGCCGATGCCTACCCACTCGCCGGCTCCCGTCAACCGGTGCTAGTGTCAACGCCTCCAGCGGCCATTGAGCCGGACATTCCAGGTCCGACGACCACCACTCCTAGTCATTTTTCCTCCTCGGTTGACCAAATTGAGGTTGAAAAGAGTCCGAATGATCCTAAATTCAACCGACCAGTCCGCCTCCTTTCTTTTTACAATAATCTTTTTCTCACTTTTCATCGTACTTTATTTTATTTTTATTTTAACATGCATTATATGTGATGCGTATCGGTATATGTCCGTAATTGATTAATTTATTGTATTATGGAATTAATTTGATGTGTTGTTCATGTGTAATTTATTTGAATTATGGTGATGTGTATTATTGATTTTGCGATTTGGTGAATGATGTGTTGGTTTGGACTTTAGGATACTTGCTATTAGTTGATACATGTATATATTTTTTTAATGCGTCTTAAATGATCATTTTATTAAAAAGGGACACGACGTCAAATCAAGCAAATTTAAACTTTTGCCATGTAAATCTGTTTTCATCACATAATCAATTATGCACGTCAAGACGACTAATTTCGTCGATTTTTGCCTATGATTGCTTACGTTGCCAATCTTTACTTTACTTTTGCCTTAATTGTCGATTTTCACCTATGATCGCCTAAATTGCCTATTTTTACTTGTTTTTGGCCTTAATTGTCGATTTTTACCTATGATTGCCTAAGTTGTCAATTTTTACTGATTTTTGCCTAAATCGTCAACTTTTGCCCATGATTGCCTAAATTATCGATTTTTATTTATTTTTTCCTTAATTGCAGATTTTTGCCTATGATTGCCTTAATTGTCGATTTTTTAATTATTTTTATCTTAATTGCTAATTTGTGCCTATGATTTTCTAAATTGTCGATTTTTGCTTATTTTTTTATTTTGTCAATCTTTGCCTATTTGCTAACCTTTTCCTATTTGTAGATTTTTATCGATTGCCTATCTACCGATTTTGCCTATTTGCCAATTTTGTTAATTTATCGATTTTGCCATTGTTTGCCTATTTGTTTATTTTTGCCAATTTTGTCAATTTTATCTATTTGCCTATTTATCGGTTTCGTCAATCTGCTTATTTTGTCTCGTTTGCATATTTGTCTATTATTTTTAAGTTTTGTTTTCATTCACGCTATCTAAATTGCATTAGTAGCACATCCTTGCATTTATCATTTTTTATCCATCCATTACAGAGTGAGGATAAGGTCTCCGACCGACCAAGTCCCAAGTCACTCAACTAGTGGATAAATGCTTGAAAAATAGGTATAATCTTTCATCATTAAAAATAAAAAACCAAGTCGGTTTTGTAAGCAATGCAACTTGCCTTAGGCGAGGACGGGGTAAGATGATCTTTAATCTTTCCCACACGTAATAAACCCCTTATCCATAACTGCGAATAAACCAAGTCATAGGGTTTCCTAATAACCATAATACTAGGTGGCGACTTTAATCATTTTCCTTATGTTCACTAAACCACCGACGTCGCCTTACAACATATATATATATATATGAAAATGAATCATTCATCTTAAGATTTAAGTATTTAAATAGATTTCAAGTTTAACTATGATCAAATTCAACACTTATAAGTTATAAAAGGTAAATACCTTATGTGCACCGTATGTTTTCATCAATTCATTAAGAAAAGCCTCTATTACTAATTTAATAAATTAAATATATGTATTTTCAATTTCAATTAATTGAATATAATTTATCTAAATTGAAAATGGAACTATTCAATAAATAATGTGGGAAGAGCGATGATATTAATAGAAACAAAACAAAAATTGATAATAATATATGAACTATGTGGTAAAGAAAAATATTCAATTGGCTAAAATAAATTTTCAATCTTAAAAAAATTATACTCAGTTAGCTTTAATCATGCTTAATTAACGCGAATTGATAATTAATGCTAAGAACGTAGAGTGGAAATTATGGATTTATCCCACTTACACACACACAGATATATATATATATATATATATATATATATATATAAACTAACCCTGCTAATAAACTTTGTTATTTTATCTAATAAGGGTACTGCTGTCTTTTTATAAATTCAATTTATTTGTTTCTCAATTAGTCAGAAGTAGAACTGCTGCATCCTCGGCCAAAAAGAAAAAAATAAGAGCAACTTACCCAAAGTCTCCAACTTTTTTTTCCTAATTCCATCCCAATAAGTGAAACAAACAATTGAAAAGAAGTGCTGCTGGACACAAGCCGTCCAAACCTCCTTTTACGGGATTCCTTGGAGCAAGTTAATTCACTGTTGTTGGTTTGCAAAATTTTGTAGGCTAAAAATAATAGACCAAAAGCAAACCTTGGGGAAGGAGGAGGTTATCTTGGAAATTGAATGGGCCAATGATTTGTGGCCTACAATCAATATTTGGCCATGAAAGCCTGATCACAAGACTTGGGTATTTATTGGGCTCTAGAGAGCGGGCTTTTTTTGCAAAACATGGAAGTGTTAATTACTTTGACCAGCTAGATCATTATGTGATGGCTTGAGCTAGTATTCGAAATCAAATTTTTTTACTTCAGGCTAGCCCAGTTACATAATGCAACCTAAACCTCTTCTACAACTAATCCAACAGAACGATGATCCTAGTTTTGCTGAACCAGAGTTTTAAATATTTATTATCATTAAGATAATTTTTTTATTTGTGTCGTGGATATCGTTGGATAACACATGTGATTCGGATATATCATTTGAGGTCGATTGCTTTTCAAATCTTGTTATGGTCAATATCTAAAGCTCGATATTCAATCCATCCAACGATATCATCCCAGATGATCCAGTCTTCACATGGATCGAGGACCAAAGAGCAAGGAAAGCAAGCAGGGTTTTTCACGCTGAATCCAAGTGGTTGATTCTATGATTATTTGTTGGATTGTTAGTTTTGCCCAAACCATACTCATTCCAAAATCCAAAAGCAATGCAACTTTTCATTTGCAATTCAGTCACAAGAGAATCTCAACGGGTATCGAAGGGGATTCTACAAGTGGATTTTTCTTCCACCTGTTGACACAGGAGATTTTAGGGTGTTTTTATAAGATAAATTAAATGTTTTCAAATATATAATTACAGTAAAAATTAATGAGATATATATATCTCCTATCATAATTAATTTAATGCTCAACTAATTATTCAAGAAAAGCTTGTGTCAAAAAAAAAATGCATTCTAGTCTATATCAATACTTTAAGTTTTTTTTATATGTGAATGAATGACAAATGACTTTTAAATAATATTTATATGGCTAGATTAAGGATTTTTTGTAACCTAATTTATACACTTTCATCCATTATAAATATACTTAACCCACTACTAGAGTTCAATAGAACCTAAGATTTTAATTTTCACTTGTAGATTTTATTTATAATATAACATATAGCATTAAGGATTTATTTTATAATTGATTCTTATACGGTTTTAATTTTTTTTGATTGAAACGCTCTATTATTTTTTAGTTTGATTAAAACTCTCTACTCTTATAAATTTATTAATTGAAATTCTCCATTATAACACCGTTAACTATTCATCCTACATGATAATTAAAACTAATGATAATCAATTAAACAACCACACGTGGCATAATGAATATGAAATACCAGTGTTATTATCATAAATTAAAACAAATTTAAAATATTATAAATATAAAGATTTTCTTCATTGCTATTCAGTCAAACATAATAATAAAAAAAAAAGTAGCTAAAAAAATGGGTAAGAGGACTGCCGCTATTCATCTTTCTCTCCATTCATCCGAACCACTAGAAAAAAACCATGGCTTCTCCAATCCGAAACAATCAACCCATTTACCCATTTCATACAGAACTCCATAGCCACTAACTCCACCGCCACTATTTTCGCCAAAACCACCCTCTGTAAATAAGTTTTTTTTTTTTTTTTTTTTGAGATCAGAAATCCTCTTCAGCTACTATTCCAATATAAATCTAGCATTTTGGTTGAGAGTAAGATAAACCCTCTCCTTTTTAAACATAAATTGAAAAAAAAAGAAACTCTAGTTCACAAACAAGACACAGAGACGATACAAAGTCGAAACTTATCAATAGAATGGGTTAAAAAAGATAATCAAAATAGCATATGCAATTGATGCCACCCTACACCTTAATGGCATACTTTCTCATTGGGAAGTACATTTCCCTCGTCTTCTCGCGCTCAGTTTTCAATGATAGCTGATGCTTGGTCAGCCTCCTGCGGATGGCTCTGGTCTTCTTGGGATGCAAATCAAGAGGCAAGAGCTTCTTGTTCTTGTATGCCTCCCTCAATATAGCCTTCTGCTTCTGTGAAATCACAATCAAGACCTGTGCAATGGACAACCTCACCACCTTGATCTTGGAGAGCTTGTTAGGAGCATTGTCGGTGACCTTAGCAACACGAAGGAGAGCAAGCTCAGCTTTGAGATCCTTCAACTGAGCCAAAAGATCTGCCTTTGATTTTTTTCTTAACTCACGAACCTTGATTCTAGCCATTGCTTCGTTTATGTCTTTCTCTAACCTTCTTTAGCAACGACTGCGCGGCTTTCTTTTTGCAAATCAGTCACTGCCATTAAAACCACACCTCCACAGACTCATCCCTTCGTCGATTTGAGCACTCCACCAAACACTGACTAATCATCCCTTGCTTCCTTACACCATCATCAACACCTTCTGGGTTCTACATTTTCTTTTCTCTGGGTTCTGCATCTATTATAGTCTCTCACCTATCCTTATTTTCTTGTCTTAATTTTGCTTCATTATAAGGTTGATCAGTAATATGGTTAAGGTTGATCAACAAACAATATATTTTGATATAAAGATGAACAAATTTTTCATGGGTACTAAGTCTTAAATTTCAGATGATGGAAAGGGCAGGGACTGTGATGGGCAAAGAGAGGAGACAGAGACAGAGAAAACGAGAATTTTGAATGGAAAAAATTGATTTGTTTTTGGGATAACGGGTGGGGGTAAATTTATCTTTTCATTTCATTTTTTAATTTTAAACATTAATTTATTATTAAAAATATTTTTATATCTTTTTTTTTAAATTTATGATAGTAACACTGATATTTCAGGTTCAGTATGCCATATGTCGTTGTCCGATTGACTACTATTAGTTTTAATTATCACGTAGGATGAATAGTTAACGATGTTATAACGGAAGTTCTCAATCAATAAATTTATAAGAATAGAGGATTTCAATCAAACTGAAAAATAATAGAGGGTCTCAATAAAAAAAATTGAACTGTACAAGGACCAATTATGAGATAAACCCATAGATTAACTTAAAACAAAACATAACATTTGGGTTACACTTAGAAAGATTTCTTATATTCTTTTACTTCATCTATATGACATTATCTAAAAAGTGACAATTCCTTTATAGAGTTCAAAATAACTAATGAGTAGAAATACTCACACTTAAATTAAAAATACAACATACAAATCATAATGGTCATTCTTTATAACCAAATACCTCTTTTCATGCATTATCATATATTGCATCTTTAAACTAAGTACTTAATGAGTAAACAAATTTTATTAATGCACTTTCAATAAGTCATTTGAATCTAACTTTATATTTCCCAATGGATGTAGAAAATAATATTTTATGTGCATAAAAATTACATCAATCTCTAAAAATAACATAAAAATATCTAGACAATCAATAAAAAAGAGAATGAAGTCAAATAGCAAATGAGTTAGTAAGTAAGACTCAACCGATCTACATGATCTTTATATTGTTTTTTCGACAATGATTTCGTTATGAAATCCGCAACTTAGCTAATATGCTTAATGACCACTTCATGTTATTTTACTTTTTCTCTCACAATGAGATATTTTATGCCAATATACTTATTTTGGCTTCCACTCTTACTATTCTTAGAGAATAAAATTGAAGATGAATTATCATAATAATAGCCTTGATATGGAATCCATAGTTTTAAAATTAGAAATAAAATTTCTTAACCAAATAGTATATGCCGTTACTTCAAAGTGTGCAAAAGCAACAATAGTTTTCTTAGTACTTTGTCACGATACGAGTTCTTTTAATAAAAAAAAAATCATATCATGAAGTAGATTTTTTTGTGTCTATACAACCAATAAAATCTAAATCTAAATAACAAACCATCTCAAAATAATTAATATGTTTGTAAATCAGTCTATAATCATTGGTCCTTTGTAGATACCCTATGACTTTTTTAGCAAATTTTCAATTTTCATTCCAAGATTACTTTGGAACCTTCCCAGCGTGTTTGTTGTAGATGCATAGAAAATTTTACTCATCGCTCTTTTTCTAATATATTTTGTGGATATTGATTCCGATTGAATTTTTTTTTTTTATAATGAGTACTAATTTTAAAACTATGGATATGGAATCCATAGTTTTAAAATTAGAAATAAAATTTCTTAACCAAATAGTCTATGCCGTTACTTCAAAGTATGCAAAAGCAACAATAGTTTTCTTAGTACTTTGTCACGATACGGTTCTTTTAACAAAAAAAAAAAAATCATATCATGAAGTAGATTTTTTTGTATCTATACAACCAATAAAATCTAAATCTAAATAACAAACCATCTCAAAATAATTAATATGTTTGTAAATCAGTCTATAATCATTGGTCCTTTGTAGATACCCCGTGACTTTTTTAGTAGATTTTCAATTTTTCATTCCAAGATTACTTTGGAACCTTCCCAAGCATTTACGTTGTAGATGCATAGAAAATGTTACTCATCGCTCTTTTTCTAATATATTTTGTGGATATTGATTCCGATTGAATTTTTTTTTTTATATAATAAGTACTATTGAAGATGCACAATTTGACATTCTAAATCTTTCCAAAACTTCTTTTAATGTAGGCTTTTTTAGACAATTCTAATATTCTTTGAGAGATGTCTTTATGCATCTCTATGCTAATGACATGACTTGTTTCATCTAATAAAGTTCTAAGAAAGAAATTGATTTATCTTATATAACAAATGTAAGTCGTTACTTGTAAGAAAAATATTATCTATACACGTAACAAAAAAATGTATTTACTTATACTAGTTTTAATGTATATACATTGGTGAATAATGTTCTCAATAAAATCATATTGAGAAACTTAATATATCACTATTAAAAGGCCTGTTTTAACCCATATATAGTTTTATTTAGTTAACAAATTAAATGGCTATTTATGTCATCATAAAACTTTTAGGTTGATTCATGTATACTTCTTCATCCATATTTAAAAATGATATTTTCACATCCATCTCATGTAGCTCTAAATCAAAATGAACTATCATTACTATTATAATTTTGAATGAATCCTTCTTAAAGACCAAAGAGGAAGTTTTATGATAATTTATGCCTTCTTTTGGATATAACCCATAGCTACAAGTCTAGATTTATATAGCTCGAAATTAGCAAAAGAGTCTATTTTGTTTTATAAATTCATTTGCATCCAATGACTATAGATCCTTTTAATAATTCGACTAAGTTACAAACTTGATTTTTAGACTTAAAATTTTTTTTTCCTTTTAGACATTATACCATAAAGCAAATTTTTCTTCATTCATGACTTGTGAAAACAAACTTGGATCATCTTTAGGTTAAATATTAAAGTCGGACTCTTAAAGGCATGTAACATAATTATTATTAATTATTAATTTCCTTACTTTTAAGAATCTTCTTAATTCAACTACGTCATTTGGGTTTATCTCATCAAAAACTAATTACTCTTGAATCGGTTGTTTTTTAGTATTATCTAATTGATTTTCTTGAATAATAATCAATTATCATGATTTTATACAACTCAATTGAATCTTATATTTTTTTAAATTCTATACTTCAAGAAAATCTCTTCTACTAAGTTCAAGATCCTCAAGAAATTTAGTCTTTTACCTATACTATTCTTATATTATGAGTTGGACAATAAAATCTATATCTTTTAGAGTTCATTGTATAACAAATAAAATATCTACGATTGTTCTTAAATCCAACTTCTTTAATTGAGGACTATAAATCATTACCTCAACACAAGAGTCCCATTCGTGTGTCCGAATTAAACTAAATTTTCTTCTATTACATAACTCAAAAGGTATCCTAAAGACAACCTTAGTATATTAGAATTACTAATCATAATCCTAGCTATGTATATAACATTATGGTTTCTTCTTTTAGCTACATCATTTTATTATGGTATGGCACACATTGTGTATCGTGCAATAACGTCTTTTTCTTTAAGAAAATTTGTAAATAAACCCGAGATTTGTCAATTTTCAATATGCATACCATAATACTCTCTACCTCTATCCGACCTTACAATCTTGATGGTTTTTTATTTTATATATGACCTTACAATCTTGATGGTTTTTTATTTTTATTTTTTTGTATTTCTCTATCTTAGGCTTATAGGTCTTGAAAGCATTAAGTGATTTAATTTTATCAAATAAAAGATAAAGATATATAAATGCAGAATGATCATTAATGAATAAGATAAAATATTTCTAACCATTTTGGCAATGAATATTTAATAGTCCACATATATCGGTGTATATGATTTTTAAAATTTATGAGCTCCTTGAGACACATTTAGTGGTTTGGTTAATTTGTTTTTCATTTATGCAATCCACGCGAGTACTAAAAAAAGCAAAATAAAGAGTGTTTAAAACTTCATCATTCACTAATCTCTTAATTCTTACTATGAAGATTCTTACCATACGGATGTAACCTATTGTCTTATGCTATAATAAAGAGACATTCTCATCAATTTTGCTCATTTTAATATCGATATTAACTTGCATTGATAAATAATTGACCTTAAAGGTATGGTTTAGATTAGTTTTATATAAATTATCAATTAATGCTCCACTACTAATAGAAATTTTATTTTTAAAAAATACTAAAAATCAAACAAAAATCCATAGTGAACATTACAAAGCTTAGAAATTGAAATCATTTTTTGAAATTGATGGAACATAAAGACATTTTCCAAATTCAAATTCTAAAATTAATCTAAAAGTTCCACAACTTTAATTTCAAAATATATCTAGTTTTCTAAATAGATGTCTTCTTCGCTTCTCTTGAGCTTTTTTACATCTTGAAAGCTCTTTATGGTAATCACAATATGAATTATAAAATCAAAATCAATATATCATGCATTGCTAGGAGTTTCAATAAAAAAATTTATGAGACATTAAAAAGATAGATTTACCTTTCTTACAAGTCATTTTATAATACTTAGGGAAATCTTTCTTAGCATGCTCCTATTTTTTACGTAAAAAACATTTACTATTATTGCTATTTTGCTTCATTGGTATATTTTCATTTCATTTTGAGAGCAATTTTACCCTTCTTCACATTTCTCATAGCTTAAAAAACTAAATGACTACTTTTAGGTTTCTCAAGTTTCAATAAGGTCAATAATTTATTGAGACTAAATGGGTCAAAACTCTTCGAACTTTAATTTCTTTGAAAATCGGTCTTCAAACTTCTAATTTTGGATTTG